GAAAGAAAGAAAGAAAGAAAGAAAGAAAGAAAGAAAGAAAGAAAGAAAAAAAGAAGAAAGAAAGAGAAAGAAAGAAAGAAAGAAAGAAGGAAGGAAGGAAGGAAGGAAGGAAGGAAGGAAGAAAGAAAGAAAAAGAAAGAAAGAAAGAAAGAAAGAAAGAAAGAAAGAAAGAAAGAAAGAAAGAAAGAAAGAAAACAGAAAGACATGGTCTGTGCACTTACGGAATTTACATTTATTTGGGAAAAGGCACAGGCACATAAAAGCCAAAAATAGGAACATGAGGTAGCACTTGGTAAGTGTCAAAGAAGGGGACTTTGAGGGCCAGAGGCTGACTGATGGGCTACTACAGTATTAGAAAACCAGAGTCCACAACCTGATCAAATAATCTTGCATTGGCGCCAGAACTCAGAAAGAGTCGGAAAAACCTCTCAGTGAGCAAGAATGAATGAGTCAGAAGTTACTGCTCTAAGCACTACCGCAAACACCCATTCTGGTGAGACCACACCAAGGTTTTCAGCATGTGTCAGACGCTAATCAAAGACATCTCAGCTGGGTACAGTGGCTCATGCCTGTAATGCTGGCACTTTAGGAGGTCACGGCACAACGAATGCTTGAAGCCAGGAGCTCAAGACCAGCTTGGGCAACACAGCAAGACTCTTAGCTCTACAAAAAATTTTTAAAAAGTAGCTAGACGCAGTGGCATGCGCCTGTGGTCTCAGTTACCTAGGAGGCTGAGGCAGGAGGACTGACAATTCGAGGGTCGAGGCTGCAGTGACTGCAGTGAACCATGATGGCACCACTGCCCTCCAGCATGAGTGAAAAGAGACCCTGTCTCTAAAAAATAAAAACAAATCACAGACAGCATCTCCTTTAGACTCATCAAACACACTCATTTCATCTCTCTCTTTTTTTTTTTGGCCATCTTCCAATACTGTGATGCTCTGTCTCATTCTAAAAGGACAAGCAACTGACTGCACTCAGGGAGCAGCATAAAGTGAATGCTTTAAGGAACTCGTGGGGCCTTTCCATCCTCCTCCCAGCCAATCCTTTAAGCTCTGATGAGCCTGGAGAAGCTACAGACCTTGGGCTGCTCCTGAAGTTTTTTAAGATGCCATTTCCCAAGACCTTACCTTGCTCATGGCGGTCAGGGCAGGATCACAGGCAGCATCCAGATCCTGAACCAGCAGCTGAATACTACTGGAGATGACGCTGCAAATCAAACAAATCACTGTGGTCACCCTTCAAACACAGTTGTCTGAATGACTGACACAGCCCCTTCCAAATGTTTTAGGGCCTGTGTAAAAATCAGACTTATCATTTCATCAGCGAAGTCTGAGCTTTAATGAATGACAGTGGAGGAGGAGTCCGGCTCTTTCTTCATGTCCTGGTTTTACCTGGGTGTGTCCTCACCCTGTCAGGACACAGGGTCCCTGGCCAGTCTCCCCAGTCACCACCCCCAGTATCCCTGCTCACATCTTCCTCCAAAAGAACTGAAGAAAATAAAAAGTTAAGAGAAGAGGGGGAAATAAACTAAGAAGAGAATTTTTATTTTCCCCAGTAAGTGGCTGATGTGAAAGCTGAGGCTTGGCCCATGCCTGTCTCGTTTAATGGCAGTGGAACAGCAAATGACCACAATGAAAATGCCACATGGTCCTAACAGGGAAAGGAGGCTGTACTGCTTGAACTTCCCGGACAGAGCTCCCGCCACCCCACACTCTCACACCCTCAGTGGCTAAAATCAAGCCCTTTCTACTTTATATTTTAAAACACTGAAGGTAGGCCTGGTCTTCTGTGGGTTTAGGCAGGAGCAGATCAGGGATGGCCAAGGGAGAATGTCTTCTCTGTAGTTCTTCACAGTGAGACAATAAAGACCCCATAAGCTAAAAGCACAACTGCATTTGAGGAGGCACATGGCAGAGGCACCAGTTCTGAGGCTGCTTCTTAGTGCCCTGTAGGGACAAATTCTGACCCGACAGAAATCTCTTAGGTTCTGCAGTGACTGAAGCCAACAGCCTGAGGCATGCCGCTGGGTAGCGGAGAAAGGGCAGGCAGCGAGAAAGTACATGCGAGTAAGTGTGTGCAAGGTATGTATGCGTGCGAGGAGCACACATGCTGAATGTGTCCATCTCTCCAGTCAGATTGATTCACTCAGTCAGACTTAGACATGCTGGTGGGTAGCAGAGAGAGGGCAGGTGGTGAGCAAGTGTGTGTGAGGTACATACGTGTGCAAGGTATGTATATGTGCGAGGTACATGTGTGTGAGGCATGTACGTGTACGAGGTACGTACATGTGCAAGGTACATACATGTGAGAGGTACGTACGTGCTAAATGTGTCCATCTCTCCAGTCAGATTGATTCGCTCAATCAAACTTATATCCACTTTTTCTTTGAGTTTTTCTTCCAGCTGTTGGAAAATGGGAGAAAAAGACACATGGTTAATGATTATCCAAAGAAGTATCACAATCATAACAGTTAACATTTACTGAGTTTAATAATTCAGGCATAATTCCAGACACTTTTAATTCTTACAATCTTATGAGGAAGATTCTATTATCATCCTCGTTTCACAGATGAGAACATAGAGAAGGGGTCTACCCAAGACAGAAGTGGGAGGGCCAGGAATCAAACCTCCTCCAGAGCCCGTGCCCTTCAGCACGGTGCTGTACTTGTTTCTTATGACACATCAATAATTCACATCAATTCATTCTGAAAAGACTCTGATTTATTTAAGATACTCCCTGCCCCATGAAATACAGACTTGCCCACTCACGCTGGAAACCTTTGGTGGTGAGCAGCAGTAAAACCAGACGAACCAGTCAGTGGATGCTATGGGCCGAGAACCTCATAAAGGCGTTGGGGATACAGTGGTAAACAAAAGAAACGCAGTCCCTGCCGCCATCAGCCTACAGCTTGGGACAGAGACGAGGTCCCTGCTGTCATCAGCCTACACCCGGGGACAGAGACACGGTTTCTGCCGTCATCAGCCTACAGCGTGGGACAGAGATGCAGTCCCTGCCGTCATCAGCCTACAGCCTGGGACAGAAACGTTCAACATGCTCCTGAGCTCAAAGGAAAATACAACCAGACCTGGACTTGTAAATCCTTGAAAACATCCCTGGGAGTTGATTAATCTAGCACTGTAAGCCTATTACACAAACTGTAAGAATAGCTAATGTTTTATCCTTTTTTTTTGAGACAGAGTTTCCTTCTTGTTGCCAAGGCTGCGGTGCAGTGGAATGATCTTGGTTCACTGCAACCTCTCCTTCCCAGGTCCAAGCATTCTTCTGCCTCAGCCTCCTGAGTAGCTGGGATTACAGGCATGCACCACCATGCGTGGCTAACTTTGTATTTTTAGTAGAGATGGGGTTTCACCATGTTGGTTAGGCTGGTTTCAAACTTCTGACCTCAGTTGATCCACACACCTTGGCCTCCCAAAGTGCTGGGATTACAGGTGTGAGCCACCGCGCCCGGCCAGGATAACTAACGTTTTGTCTTAAATGTGAAAATGCTGTTGGGGAGCATAAATTAGTATAACCTTTTTTGAAGGCAATTTATTCAAAAAGCAAAACTGTAAATACATATACTGCCTAAACCAGCAATTTCACAACTAGAAATGCATTTCAATGAAATAAGGGGAATAATGTATAAAGATATGCAAGTGTTTTTGCAGTATTCATTAATTCAACCAATATTTACTGAAAGCCCACTTTTTCAGGCTGTGTAACAGAATAAGAGAGCTACTCAGTGAGCAAAACGGATCAATACTGTTCTCATAAAGCCTACATTCTGGTGTGGTTTTATATTACTGAAAAGCTGGAAACAATCTACGTACATATTTACAAGGGATTGATAAAACAAATTATGGCACAGGGGTATAATGCTTCAACTCTTCAGCAGCCTCTTCCTATGACACCGAAAATAAAATCCAAACTCCTGACTATGAACTGGGTCCTGCCAGCTGTCTGGCCCCGTCTTGCTACTTTCCACCTTCCCTGCTAGACCTCAGTTATGCTGGCCTTTTAAACTTCTGGGACACACCAGGGTCCTTCACCCTCAGGACCTTCGTACCTCACACTTCCTTCTTCGTTGCCCTGCTTGGCCCTGCTGACCCGCTCCCCTGCTTTGCCGCACCCCCCGCTTTCCAAGCCCTGCAGTCTCCTCACATGGCAGTCTCCTTCCCTAGGCCCCGAGTCCCTGCCTCAGTCAATCTCAACTCCTCAGAGAGGCTCTCCGTGACTACCCACTTCAGTAGGCAACTCCCTTATTCTAGCACTGCCAAGTATGTTTCTTTCCTAATATCACAAAACTGAAGTTACATCTCAGCTGGCTGGCTTCCTTAGTACCTGGCTCCCCTATTAGGTTTAAGTTCCATGCCAGAAAGAAACTGCTCTGTTCGCCTCTGTTAATTAGCACCAAATATAGTGCTTGGGGCACGGTAAGTGCTTACTGAAGATGTCTTGAAGGAAAAAAAAGAATGAATGGAACAACCTTGCAGGTGTTAAAAAGGCTGAGGCAATACTGGAAAGATATCCGGATTGAGGTAAAAACAAAACAATGCTGCTTTGTTGTGGAACCATATGCAGAGCATGGGCCCATTTTATTTAAAAAGATACAACCACAAACTGTTTTAAAGCTTATATAGTAAATGGCGGTTGCTCTGAAGGGTTAGACGATGGGGAATTTCAACCCATATGTGTATGTTCCTATGACATTTGAAACTTTTTAGGAGTGCGTATCACTTAAACTATTTAATAGGAAAAATTTCAAACATCTACAAAAATACAGAGAACAGTAACATGTGCCAAGGCCAGCATCACCAACTGTCACGACACAGCCAGTCTTGTCTGATTTACGCCCTCACATATTCCCCCATCCCTTCAATTACTTTGAAGCAAATCCTAGAATTCTATCATTTCATCTGTAAATGTTTCAATATGCATCTCTGAAAGATAAGCACTCCTGAAAAAAATAAGCCCAGGGGATCAAGGCCACAGTGAGCTATAACGACACCACTGAACTCCAGCCTGGGTGACTGAGTGAGACCCTATCTCAGAAAGTCTGTTTTCATCAAGATCCAAATAAAGATCACATACAGCAATTGGTTAATATGTCTCTCTGTTTTTTGAGACGGAGTCTCGCTCTGTCACCCAGGCTGGAGTGCAGTGGCACAGACTTGGCTCACTGCAACCTCTCCCTCCTGGGTTCAAGCAATTCTCTTGCCTCAGCCTCCTGAGTAGCTGGAATTATAGGTGCCCGCCACCACGCCTGGCAAATTTTTATATGTGTAGTAGAGACGAAGTTTCACTGTGTTGGCCAGGCTGGTCCTGAACTCCTGACCTTGTGATCCACCCGCCTCAGCCCCCAACATGCTAGGATTACAGGTGTCAGCCACCGTGCCCAGCCTCTCAAGTCTCTTTTAAAAATATATATATAATTAACATGTGGAAAACATACACATCTCTAGTGTTTAGCTGGATAAGTTTGACAGTCATACACACCCATGTACTCACCAATAATAACAAGATATTGAACACTTCCATTCCCCCAGAAAAGTTCTCTCATGCTCCTCTGCCCCTTTCAAATCAACTCTACCCTTATCCTATCTGATTTCTATTACCACAGATTAGTTTTGCTTGTATAGTATTTGAATTTTATATGTAGTAGCCCCTGCCTTATGTGAAGTTTTGCTTTGTACAGTTTCAGTTATGTACAGTCAACCACAGTCCAAATATGTTAAATGGAAAAATTCTAGAAATAAGCAATCTATACACGTTAAATTGCAAGCCATCCTAAGTATCGCAATGAACTCTTGTGCCATCCTGCTCTGTCCCGCTTGGGAGGTGAATCCTCCCTGTGTCCAGCTATCTGTGTTGTTTACACTCCTCACCTGTTACCGTACAGGAAAAACTGTGTACCATGTACAGGGTTTGGTACCATCTGTGCTTTCCGGCACTCACTTTGGGGCTTGGAATGCAACTCCCACAGATAAAGGGGACTAATGTAAATGGGATTAGATGGTATGTACGCTTGATGTGAGGCTTCTTTCAACATATTTCTGAGACTCATCCTATTGGTATGTATATAAGCAGTTCATCCATTGTATTGCTAAGTAGTGGTCCATTGTACGGACGCCACAACTTGCCATCCATTCTCTTGTTTAAGGACATTTAGGTTGCTTCCAATTTTAGGCCACTATGAATGGGGCTACTATAAATTTCCTTGTATACGTCTTATGTTTTCATTTTTCTTGGGTAAATACCTGGGAATTTGATCCTGCCACTGCTGGATCATAAGGTTTTATAAGAAACTGCCAAGCTGCTTTTGAAAATGAATATCCTGGCTTATATTCTCCTCACCAATATGTCAGAATTCCACATGTTCCACATCCTTGCCGATCCTTGTCATTGTCAGCATTCCAGATGTTCCACATCCTCACTGATACATGTTGTCATCCTGTCAGCATTCCAGATGTTCCACATCCTCGCCGATACGTGATGCTGTCATTCTGTGAGCATTCCAGGTGTTCCACATCCTCACTGATACATGTTGTCAACCTGTCAGCATTCCAGATGTTCCACATCCTCGCTCATACGTGATGCTGTCATTCTTATGTCAGAATTCCAGATGTTCCACATCCTCGCCAATACATGATGCTGTCATTCTTGTCAGCATTCCAGATGTTCCACATCCTCGCCGATACGTGATGCTGTCATTCTGTTAGCATTCCAGATGTTCCACATCCTCATTGATACTTGTCATTCTTGTCAGAATTCCAGATGTTCCACATCCTCGCTGATACGTGATGCTGTCATTCTTATGTCAGAATTCCAGATGTTCCACATCCTCGCCGATATGTGATGCTGTCATTCTCATGTCAGCATTTCAGATGTTTCACATCCTCACCGATACGTGATGCTGTCATTCTTATGTCAGAATTCCAGATGTTCCATGTCCTCGCCGATACTTAATGTTGTCATTCTTTTTTTTGTTTTCATATTTTTGTATGTGTCATTCTTTATCTCACAAGTCCCGAAGTTCCACATCCTCGCCGATACACGATGTCATTATGTCAGAATTCCAGATGTTCCACATCCTTGCCAATAAATGATGCTGTCATTCTTATGTCAGAATTCCAGATGTTCCACATCCTCACTGGTATGGCATGTTATTCTTACGTCAGAATTCCCGACGTTCCACATCCTCGCCAATACGTGATGTCATTCTTATGTCAGAATTCCCGATGTTCCACATCTTCACTGATATGTGATGCTGTAATTCTGTCAGAATTCCAGATGTTCCACATCCTCACCAACATGTGATGCTGTCATTCTTATGTTAGAACTCCTGATGTTCCACATCCTCACCAGTCATGTTGTCATTCTGTCAGAATTCCAGATGTTCCACATCCTCACCGATACTTAATGTTGTTCTATTTTTGTTTTTGATTTTTTGTGTGTGTCATTCTTTATGTTAGAATTCCCGATGTTCCACATCCTCGCCAATACATGATGTTGTCATTATGTGAGAATTCCAGATGTTCCACATTCTCATCAATATGTGATGCTGTTATTCTTGTCAGAATTCCAGATGTTCTACATCCTCACCAGTATGTGATGTCATTCTTATGTCAGAATTCCCAATGTTCCACATCCTTGCCTATACATGATGTTGTCATTCTGTCAGAATTCCAGATGTTCCACATCCTCAGATACTTGTCATTCTGTCAGAATTCCAGATGTTCCACATCCTCGCTGATACTTGTCATTCTTATGTCAGAATTCCACATGTTCCATATCCTTGCTGATAGTTGTCATTCATGTGAGAATTCCAGATGTTCCACATCATCACTGATACGTAATGCTGTCATTCTGTCAGAATTCCAGATGTTCCACATCCTTGCCGATATGTGGTCATTGTCAGAATTCCAGATGTTCTACATCCTCGCCAATACATGATGCTGTCATTCTTATGTCAGAATTCCAGATGTTCCACATCTTCGCTGATACATGATGGCATTCTTATGTCAGAATTCCCGATGTTCCACATCTTTGCCGATACATGATGCTGTAATTCTTATGTCAGAATTCCAGATGTTCCACACCCTTGCTGATGTTTGATGCTGTCATTCTTTTGACTTAATAGCCATTCCTGTCTCCCAAGCTTAATTTACATTTCCCTGGTGACTAATGATAATGAGCACCTTTTCCTTCACTGATTAAACATCTGTGTATATATATACGTATTTTTTTGAGGGAGGGTCTCATTCTGTCATCCAGACTGGAATGCAGTGGCGCCATCATAGCTTACTGCAACCTCCAACTCCTGGGCTCATGCAATTCTCCTGCTCAGCTCCCCAGGTGACTGGTATTATAGGCACATGTCACCATGCCCAGCTAATTTAAAGAATTTAAGCATTTTTTGGAGGGTTAGAGATGGGGCCTCCTTGTGTTGGCCAGGCTGGTTTTGAACTCCTGGGCTCAAGTGATCCTCCTGCCTCGGCCTCCCAAAACGTGTCTATCGTCTTTTGTGAAATGCCTGTTCAAGCCTTTTGCCCATTTTCAGTTGGAATGATTGCCTTTTTAGCATTATTAGGGGTTCCTAAGTATCCTGGATACAAGTCCTTTAGCAGTTTTCTGTGATGCGAATATTTTTCCTCAGTCTGTAGCTTATCAATTTTCTTAATGGAGTCTTCTGATGAACAGAAAATTTTACTTTTGATGAAGGCCAATTTATTGAATTTTTTTTCCTTTTATGGATAGTACTTGTATCTTGACCAAGGAATCTCTGTCTACTAAAGGTTATGGGGATCTTTTCCTGTTTTTCTTCTAAAAGCCTTATGGCTCTGGGATTTACATTTAAGTCTCTGATCACCTTGAATTCATTTTTGTGTATATGAGTCAGGGGTTGAGGCTGTTTTCTGTGTGTATAATCTGCTGGTATAGCCATGATCATTAGGTTTCTTTTCTCTCTTTAACTACCTTGGTATCTCTGTGGAAAAATCAATTGACCATATACACATGGGTGTTTTTCTAGACTCCTTACTCCACTCCATTAATTCGTCTGTGATTACTACAGCTTTACTGTGAGTTTTAAAATCAGGTAGTGTAAATCATCCAAGCTTCTTCTTCTTTTTCAATATTGTTTGGTTATTAGAACCTCTGAATTTCTCTGTAAATTTTTCTTGTCTCTTTCTTCAAAATAGCCTGCTGGAATTTTGATAAAGAGTTGTGTTGAGTCTATATATCATTTCACAGAGAAGGAACATCTTAACAAAGAGTCTTCAATCTACGAACGTGGTGTAACTCTTTACTTATTCATGCCTTTGGTTTCACTCAGCAACGCTGTGTCGTTTTCACGGTGGAGGTCTCATGTCTACCTGAGTCCACTCTGTTAGTCCATTCTTGCATTCCTAGAAATACCTGAGGCGACACAATTTATAGAGAAAAGTGGGTTATTGTGGCTGACGGTTCTGCAGGCTGTACAAGAAGCATGGGGCCAGCATCTGCTTCTGGTGAGGGCTTCAGGAAGTTTACAATCATGGCAGAAGGCAAAGGGGAAGCCAACACATCATATGATAAGTGAGGGAGCATGAGAGAGAGACAAGGAGGAGTTATCAGACTCTTAACCAGATCACTGGCCAGGTGCAGTAGCTCACACCTGTAATCCCAGCACTTTTGCTGGCCAAGGCAGGTGGATAATCTGAGGTCAGAAGTTCAAGACCAGCCTGGGCAATATGGTGAAACCCTGTCTCTGTTTAAAAAAAAAAAAAAACAGCCAGTTGAGGTGGCACATGCCTGTAATCCCAGCTACTCGGGAGGCTGAGGCAGGAGAATTGTTTGAACCTGGGAGGTAGAGGCTGCAGTGAGCTGAGATTTTGCCACTGCACTCACAGAGCAAGACTCCATCTGAAAAAAACAAACAAACGAACAAACAAACAAAACCCCAGATTACATGAGAACTCATTTATCATAAAGGATGTGTTAAACCATTCCAATCACTCCCATCAGGCCCCACCTCCAACACTGGGAATCACATTTCAGTATGAGATTTGGAGGGTCTCCATTCTGTACTGCTATAACAGAATGCCTGAGACTGGGTAATTTACAAAGAGAAAAAGGTTTATTTAGCTCATGGTTCTGAGAAGTTCCAGATTGGGAGAGGTACATGACACACGAAAACATGGTGGGAAAATGGAAGGGGAACTAGGAGTGTATGGAAACTGCAAACATGAGAGGCAGCCTCACTTCATGAAAACTCACTCGCATTGGTCTGTGAAAATCAATCTATTCTGACCCAGTCTCATAAGGAAAACATTTATCCATCTTGACAATCTAATCACCTCTTAAAGGCACCACTTCCCACATTGCTACATTGGTGAACAGGCCTCAGCATGAGACTTGCTGGGGCAAACCATAGTAATGTCTTTCGTAAGAAGTATTTCTAGGTATCTGATGTGTCTTAATTTTGTATTGCTATAACAGAATACTACAGACTGCAGAAACTTATTTCTCATGGTTCTGGAGGCTGAAAGGCTAATATTAAGGTGCCAGCATCTGGTAAAGGCCTTCTTATTATGCCATCCGCCGGCAGAAGGCAAGAGGGTGAGAGAGGGCAAGAGGGAGGAGAGGGGTAAACTCACCCTTCTATCAGGAACCCACTCCCCTTATGACGAACGCACTCCTGAAATAATGGCATTAATCCATTCGTGAGGACAGAGCCCTCATCACCTAATACCTCTTAAAGGTCCCACCTCTCAACACTGTTGCGTTATGTTTCTAACATAATGGGGATTATGTTTCTAACACATAAACTCTGGAGAACACAATCAAACCACAGAATGATGTTATAAACTGCTATTATAAATAGTATTTTAAAAATAAACTACATTTTTCAGGATAGCTTTAGATTTACGGGAAAATTACGAAGATCGTTTCCATGGCTCCCATATACCACTTACCCAGTTTCCCATTCTATTAACATTAATATATTTGTTACAATTAATGAATCAATAATGAGGTACTATTGGCATTGTTTTTAAATTTTATTTTCCAATTGCTTGTTACTCAGATTCTCTTTGTTTAATATGAGGTCTCAATCTGTTGCCCAGGCTGGAGTACACTGGTATGATCACAGCTCACTGCAACCTAGAATGAAAGCGAATCTCCCACCTCAGCCTCCCAAGTGGCTGGGACTACAGGCACCTGCCACCATGCCTGGCTACTATTTTTTATTTTTTGTAGAGATGGGATCTCACTATGTTGCTCAGGCTGGTCTTAAATTCCTTGGCTCAAGTGATCTACCTGCCTCAGCCCCCAAAGCGTTGGAATTACCAGTGTAAGCCACTGTGCCCAGCCTGCTCAGATAATATTAAGTCTCTGGTTTCTTCTTCCATTTCTCTTTGCCCCATCTGTAATCTTTTCTTAAAGAAACTGGATTGTTCTCCCTGTAGATTTTCCCAAGGTTTGGATTTTGCTGATTGCACCCACAAGTATCAAAGGACATTTTCCTGTCTCCTGTATTTCCCACAAATTGGTAGTTAGATGTAGAAGCCTGAGGGGATTCAGGTTTGTTTTGTTTTTCAGAAAACTACTCTTCAAAATGATGTACTGTACAGCTACCATCAAGATATATAATGTTTGGTTGCTGTTTGTGTGATGTCAAAGAGCCACTGATGCTCAAAGCCCAGATCCCATTATTCCATTAAGAGGTATAAAGAATGATACTCTAGGGGGTGCAGGGGCTTATGCCTGTAATCCCAGCACTTTGGGAGGCTGAGGCAGGCAGATCACCTGAGGTCAGGAGTTCAAGACCAGCCTAGCCAACATAGTGAAACCCTGTCTCTACTAAAAATATGAAATTAGCCAGGCATGGCATGCCTGTAATCCCAGCTCCTCAGGAGGGTAAGGCAGGAGAATCACTTGAACCTGGGAGGTGGAGGTTGCAGTGAGCTGAGATCATGCCACTGCACTCCGGCCTGGGCGACAGAGCAAGACTCCGTCTCAAAAAAAAAAAAAAAAAAAATCTGGGCATGGTGGTGGGCACCTATAATCCCAGCTACTCAAGAGGCTGAGGCAGGAGAATCGCTTGAACCTGGAGGTGGAGATTCCAGTGAGCCAAGATCATGCCACTGCACTCAGCCTGGGTGACAGAGCAAAACTCCAACTCAAAAAAAAAAAAAAATTGTAATTCTGTCTTTTCTTCTTCATTTATTAGCTAAACTTCTGCTATAAAGAGATACTTCCCATTGTTGATGATTTGGTTCTCCTGAGGGACATGTCACATAGGAAAGGCAAGCTAAAGGGTTTTTATTTACCAGTATTCAACTCCTACCAGTGATTCCTTAGCATTTCCAAAGGCGGTAAGTGAATTAAGAAAAATCAGTACAACCAAATGGATCTAAACACATTTGGTGTTTTCCATACACTGTAGCTAACATTTGCATTAATATAAACTAACATTTTTCAATATACTATAGCTAACACTCTCATGACACACACTGATGTTTTCCATACACTATAGCTAACACTCTCACTGATACACACTGGTGTTTTCCATACACTGTAGCTAACACTC